TGGACGGGTTAGGTGAGTTAACCGGATGAATCACACCCGTTTTACTATCCCTTTATGAAATTTTTGTAGCTTCTTAATGATCTATAGCAGAATTACTTTAATATCTTAATTATCTAAAGCAGAATTACTTTAATATCTTCCCGACGTTCTCTAAAAAAATAAAAAACAATGTTAGGACTAACGTAAATGTGCTTCTATCCTCCTCACTTTCATTTAAAGAGAAAGGGGTTGTTTAAGATAAGAGAGAAACAAATTCTACTCTATAACAAAATAAGGATGAAGCAAAATTATGTAAAATAATTTTTATATGCGAGAAAAAAAAATTAACACCATTCATTACATTATTTAAGAAATTTGAACAAAAATTGTAAAGACGAAAATTATAATATGGGCAATAAACTAATAATAGTTACTAAAATACGGATTCAGCATATTTGGATATAAAGCGTCCTATGGGTAGAAAATAATATACAAGGATACAAGTCGCAAAAAATCTAACACCTAGGGGCAAAGAAACCAGCACGATGATATATTTTATGGAGGCCTCAATTTAATTATTATTATTATTATTAAATAAAAAAGGAAATAAAAATAATTAAATAAAAAAGAAAATTTCTTCTTTTTATTTCCTTTCATGGTTTAGGAAAAGTGGAGAAGAAATACGAGATGATATTGAAGAGAACTTTAGAAAGCATTTGCATTCGAACCCAAAATATGAGACGTTAGAAAATCTGGCAAAGACAGAACTCATGTAAGCTATACTGCCGCGAGGTTGCTCGACGCCACTAGTGGCATCAACCCCACTGACGCCATCGCTGCAGATTTTGACAATTTTTAGTCAAGCACACTCTACTGATTAAAGAAGGAATAGAAAGAAGCCAAATATAAATACCTTTGACGCCACTCACTTTTAAATATAAGCAGCCAAATATAAATCTTCTCGATCTCTCTTTTGTCTTTTTCTTTCTTTTGTTGGAAATAATATCTTGTTTATAGGAAATACAAGAGCTATGTTACAGGAAATTTCCAAGGTCATGCTACATATATAATAATTATGGGTCCACCTATTTAAAAAAACCAAAGAAAAAATGGCACATTTCTTTTACGGTTTCAGCATAAAGGTTTTGTTATTTCTTGTAATATGAACAAAACAAACCCTTGTTTATTCAGTCAATATATTATAAAAAGTCATGTATTTACAAAAAAAAAAAAAAGTCATGTTAATTAGTATTTTACGATATACCAATTCTCAAGGTAAATTATTAAAAAAATTATTTATTAATTAAATCAATAAAGTTTTAGATATTTACGATAAAATGTTTAAAAAATGTAACTCTCAGCACTATCATCATTTTATGGAAGGGAAGGTGGTTCACAAGAAAATTGGTGGCTCTAGACAATCGATATATATATATATATATATATATATATATATATATATATATATATATATATGACTGATAAAAAATATGTTTTAAATTTATGTGTAAAATTAATTAAGAGAAACTGCCAAGTATTAACTAATTTCGCTTTTCATTCTTCTCGGCATGCTCAGCGTAGAACCATGTCCATAGACGTATCTTGGCAGTTTCCTAGTACTGGCATGATTAAAGTTAATACTGATGGTACTGCTCGAGGTAATCCTGGCTTGGCTGCTTGCAGAGGTGTGTTAAGGGATGATACTGGGAGGTGGTTGGGTGGTTTTGCGTACAAATTGGGGGTGTGTAACTCTTTCAAAGCTGAATTGTGGGGGTGCTCAGGGGTTTGGAGATGGCCTGGAATGCTGGCTATCGAAATGTGTTGATTGAAATTGATTCCTTTAGTGTGATCACTTTGTTATCCAAGAATGGTATAGCAATCCGTGAGTGTCAGCTGATATTTCGTATACGGATTTGGATTCTTAAGGATTGGTCAGTTTCGTTTCGTCATACCTATAGAGAAGGCAATGCTGTCGCGGATTGGCTGGCCAATTATTTGCTTGATGACCAGGATCAGTTAGATAATAGGATTTGGTGAAACCCTCCTTCCGGTGTTTATCTTTTACTGCAAGCGGATTTGGCTTCTGTTAGCAGGCCTCGTCATGTGGTGTGTAGCTGGTAGGTTTTCCTGTTTGGTTTTCTTTGTGTGTGGTTGGGCTTATGCCTTTTGTTTACCCCAAAAAAAAAAAGTGCACCTCCTGAATTTCAGAAAAAAGCGATTGTGAGCGTGTGAGAAAACTTTTTGCTCTGCTAGGGTTTGTGTGTTTCGTCTTCGTCTTCTTTCTTCGTCCTTTTGTCAGGGGGATGTCTGAGAAAGGGGGCAGACCCCACACCACTGTGGCAGAAGAAATCAATGACCGAGAGAGGAAAAAAGAGAAAGGGGAAGAGCTGGTCGACCAAGTTATGCAGGAAAATCCTTCGATTATGGGCACAATGGAGGAGAAGGTGATTTTGATGGAACACAAGTCTGATGATATGGAAGAAACCAAGTTGGAAGAAGAGGTACGTAAGGATCCTTGATAGCTCGTGTGATGCAAGGATAGTCTTATCCGGATGAATGGAGTGTGGGATGGCCAACAGAGGGATAACGAAGACGAATGGATGGGTCAGACCAAAAGAGATGAAGCGGATGAAGAAGAGGCCATGAAAGCTTATGCTCAGACCGAGGAAGATGATCCTCTAAATCCATATTTCCAGTTTGATATTCTGGAGAAGTTGGAGGAGTGCAAGAAATGGAGGAAGACACTGATTGTGAAGCTAACGGTGAAGAGGCTAGGGGCCAAGTTTGTTTGGAGCAGACTGCACAAACTCTGGAATTTGGAAGGGGAATACAAGGTTCTAAACCTGGAAAATGACCACTATTTGGTTGAATTTGAGAAGACCTGGGATTATCTCTTTGTCCAATAACAAGGACCCTGGATCGTCGCAGATCATTACCTTATAGTACAACGATGGAGGCCAAAGTATACCTTAGCCAAAGTATACCCTAGCAGTCTGGATCAGGATCCCTGGTGTTCCTCGTGAGTTCTACACATACAAGGACCTTTGGAGGATAGGAAACATGGTGAGAAGGACTCTCAGAATCGACGAAAACTCACTGCGATATATGTGACAGAGCCAAGAAGAGGTAATCGACCAAGGTAGGTTTGCTCGCATTTGTGCAGAAGTATACCTTAGCAAAAGTTTACTCTCTAAGTTTAGAATTGGCCAAAGACAGCTTTACATTGGCTATGAAGGGTTGCATCTCATTTGTTTTTTCTGTGGCCAATATGGGTACAGGAAGAACCAGTGTTTAATTAACCCAGATAATCAAAAGAATACTGAGGAGAATAAGGGAGGTCAAAACCATAGTCACTAGGATACTCATAACCATGATGAAGGGGAAAATCCAAAAAATATTGAGAAAAACCAAGAAACTAATGGCTTTGGAAACTGGATGACAGTTCAGAGACAAAACAAAAATAAAAGAGCAACTCAAAACCAGAAGTCCAAGGAGGCAGGGCAAGCAAGAGAGAAATCAATAGGAGAACATGGGCACCATGGTAACAAGGAGAGAGCTACATGATCTAGGTTTGCAATGCTAGGGGATGAGAAAGAGGAGGAAAATTCTGAGGTGGCTAATCTATCTGTTGGCTCGGAGGGCAAGATTTCAGGTTACTCGAATGTGAGTGGGACGACAAAAAAGAGCACAGACACAAGGAGAAGGAAAAATAACCCAGGTAAAGGAGCTGGCAACTTACCCTCTGGTTCAAATGGAAAGTTGGGAGAGAAACAAGTACATATAAGTTCTGTGAGTCAAGATGACTGGATGCCACAAGCCCATAAATTTGATCAAAGAGCAGCTATACTTATAAGTAGAGCTGGTGATGCTCAGAAATGAAGCCCTACTCCCAGTTTTTAGGGAAATGAATCTATGAAACCTCAATCGTCCAACACAAGGCCTCCTTTAGGAAGTGTAAATCAAATGGATTCAAGGTAACCCCCTGGCCCAAGTCACATCCATAAGGAAAATATGTTAGCTACGACAGAAGAAGGGAAGAAGCCTAGTCAGTATACTAGAGACTCAATGGTGCTGGATTATATCACCAATATGGGTGTGGTGACCAATCCCATTAGCTCGGCCTAGTTGGGAGTGTTTGTTTCCTTTGGCCGTTTCTCCATTGTTTAAGTTTTTTATGATAGTGTGTACTTGAAACTGCAGAGGAGCGGGGAAGAAGGGCTTCTCCTCGCTTATAAAGGATTTAGTATACTAAAATAAAATTCAAGTTCTTGTTTTGCTGGAAATGAGATTAAGTGGCAAAAAAGCTGATAAAGTTGTTCAGAACTTGGGCTTTGACAAATATTTTAGGAGGGAAGCTGTGGGCTTTTCGGGTGGCATTTGGATTCTTTGGAATAAAAATGAGGCCAATATCTCCATTCTTAAGGAAGACCACCAGTTCCTCCACTCCAAGATCTATTGGTTGGGTAATGGGAAGAATGAATACTTCACCTTTGTTTATGGCAGCCCTAGGAGGCTGGAGAGAAGAATGCTTTGGGAGAGTTTAAAAAATATTGAATCTAATAGAGTTGGTGATTGGGCTGTGATGGATGATTTTAATGCTATTTTGGAGGAAATAGAGAAACAAAGAGGTACTGTTGTGCGCTAGGGCAGCTCCCAGGAGTTCTCCAATTTCCTGAATGATTGTGGTTTGTCGGATGTGGGCCTTTCAGGCTCGAATTTCACTTGGAAAAGAAGATCCCTTCAAGATAGGATTGATAGGCTAGTGGTGAATGATACTTAGAACCTAAACTTCCCCGATAGATTTCTATCTCATCTTCACTTCAATGGATCTGATCACAGACCTCTTTTATTAAGTGAAGAGGCTCTCTTTCTTGCCTCGGAAGGACTAAAACCTTTTAGATTGTTAGTTGTGTGGCTAACCAATGAGGATTTTGGTGAAGTGGTGGATTATTGTTGGCAAAATAACCCCACTTGGGAGACAGCTATGAATAACTTTCATCGTGAAGCTTTCTTATGGCGCCATGAAAGGTTTAAGGCCCTTTATAGGAAAAAGAAACAAATTCAAAGGTAGGATAAGAGAAGTGGATTCCCAACTTTATAGGGGTCCTGATAATGCCCTGGAACAATTGCATAGGTCCCTATGGCAAGAGCTTAACACCATCTACATTCAAGAAGAGCTTACTTGGTATCAACACTCTAGATGTAAGTGGCTTGCCTTTGGAGATAAAAATTCTAAGTTCTTTCATTCAACCACTGTTGCAAGAATTAGGAAGAATAAAGTGAAGTGTCTTAAAAATGAGGAAGGTGTTTGGGTGGACAATCTGAATGACCTGAAGCACCTTGCAGTGAATTTCTTTAAGAAGCTTTATACTGAGGATTCCCCATCTAAACCTGTCATATGTGTTGGGAGCATGTTCTCAACCTTGTCCAGCCAAAACTGGACTAACATTGGAGAACCCTCGTGCCTAAAGGAAGTTAAGAACACAGTCTTCAATATGCGACCCTTCAAAGCCCCCAGGTATTATGGCCTTCATGCCATCTTTTTCCAATCTTAGTGGCAGGTGTGAACCAAACTCTGATTTGTCTAATTCCTAAGACGGATAATCCGGAAGTTTTAAGCTAGTTCTGACATATCAGTTTCTGCAATGTTATTTACAAAGTAGCTACGAAGTTGATTTCCTCAAGACTCAAGAATCACATAAGTGTTCTCATCATGCCTAACCAATGTAGCTTTGTAAAACGAAGACATGCCTCTGATAACATTATCATAACCCAGGAGATAATCCATTCCATGAGAACCAAGAAGGGGAAGAAAGGTTGGATGGCTATCAAGGTGGATCTAGAGAAAGCCTATGATAGGTTGGGCTGGGATTTCTTGCAGGATAACCTTCGGGTTTCAGGTTTACTAGAATATCCGATTAAGCTCATAATGACTTGTGTCTCCTCTTCAGTTATGAATCTTCTTTGGAATGGTGCCCAAACAGAAGCTTTTAGCCTATCTAGAGGAATCAAAAAGGAAGACCCCCTTTCTCCTTACTTATTTGTGCTTTGTAATGAGAGACTAGGTCACATTATCTCTTCAACAGTGAATCAAAAGAAATGGAATCTTGTGTCCCTTGGGAAAAATGGTCTACCAATTTCCACCTTTTCTTTGCGGATGACCTTTTGTTGTTCACAAAAGCTTCTCTGAATCAAGTTGAGATGATTACTAGCATCCTAAATCATTTCTGCGCAGCCTCTGGCCAGAAAGTTAGCAACAGCAAGACCCGGGCTTCCTTCTCTTAGAACGTGAATCATGCTAGAAGAGGTGAAATGTGCCAAGCTTTGAATTTTCTTCCTACCCTTGATCTGGGAAAATACCTTGAAGTTTCTATTCTTCATAAGAGGGTTAATAAGAGTACTTTTAGATATATTTTAGATAAGACTAGCACCAAACTAAGTGCTTGGAAAGAGAAATCCTTGTCTATTGCAAGAAGAGTTGTGCTCACAAAGTTAGTGTTGTCTGCTCTTCCCACTTACTCTATGCAAATTTTCCTTATTCCTCTTGGTACTTGTGATGCTATGGAGGAGAAGATGAGAACATTTGTTTGGGGATCAAGCCAAGATAGTAGAAAAGGTTCATGCCCTTCCCTGGAATATAGTCTGTAAAGCCAAGAAGGATGTGGGACTTGGCGTGAGGAGCTCGAGGCAAACTAACAAAGCTTGTTTAATGAAGATTGGGTATGGGATTCTAACCCAGAGAAAGGATATTTGGGCTAGAGTTTTGAGAAATAAGTACAAAGTGGGAGAGGCTTTAATCCCAAATATTAGAAAAAAGCCAGGAGCTTTTAACCTATGGTAGAGGATTGTTCGAGTGTGGCCTCAAGTGTCTACTGGATCTCGGATCATGGTTGGGAATGGTCAAGATACTTCCTTTTGGAATGAAAAATGGCTTCCAATTGGCCCTATGAAACTTCATATTGTCCAACTGATTCATCCTAATCAACTTGATGCTACTGTTGGCCATATGGTGGATCATAATGGGGAGTGGAATTGGCAGATTTTTTATAACACCTTATCCCCAGAACCTATTAGCTACATTGTGAACACCTTCCCTTCATACCCTGAAAATGGAGAGGACAAAGTGACCTGGGACTTTATTCAGGATGGAAAATTTTCGACTTCATCTGCCTTTGGTAGTTTGAATACTGAGGACCCTAAGGTAGCACAGCCCAACAGGAATGTTGTTTGGAGTTGGGATGGACCTCCCAGAATCCAAACCTTTCTCTGGTTGCTGCTAGGTGAAAATCTCCTGACAAACTAGAGAAGGAAATATAGACATATATTAGACTCTGATTTATGTCCCATGTGTGGATTGTGGCTTGAGGATTGATTACACGCACTGAGATATTGTGGATGGGCTCAATCAATCTGGAAAATCTTCATCGACTCGAATAAGCTGTCTAGATTTAATAACTTGCAGCTAAAGGAGTGGGTGAGCTTGAATCTGCATCCAAAAAAAACCTACTGGAGGGTGATACAAGTAACTTTATGTTTGGTATTGTTTGATGGTATATCTTGAGAGAAAGAAATGCTTTGGTTTTTGATAATAGAAGTAGCAGCCATGATGAAATAGCTAGAGCTGCTACTGCTTATCTAATGAACTTCGTAGATGCAAAAAACGTTTATAAGAAGGCTGGTCTGTTGGGTAAGAATAAGTCTGAGATCCTTATCTGATGGGTTCCTCCCCCCGTGGCTGGGCCAAAATGAACATTGATGGATTAGCCTTGAGGCATAACAGGAAAAGTGGCTATGGTGGTGTGTTGTGTGATGATTCTGGGCATTGGTTCTTGGATTTTTCCAAGAATTTAGGGGATGGCAGCTCTGTTAAAGCTGAGCTTTGGGGCATTTTCTTAGGCCTGCAAGTCTCTTGGAATCAAGGCATTAGGAAGATAGTCTTAGAAAGTGACTCTCACGTAGTTATAAACCTGGTGAAAGAGGGTTGTTCATTCCAACACCCCCAGGTTAGTTTGGTGAACAGAATCAAAAATGTCCTCAACCAATATTTGCTGGTGGTTTTATCACATATCTATAGGGAAGGCAATGGCATAGCTGACTGGCTTGCAGGGTTTGCTCATGGTTTTGGTAACACCTCGTAGTACTCCGGTTATTAACATCATGATATTTAGCATACACAGCGGAAGACTTATTTGCAAAAGAAATAAAACGTCTTATAAAAATATGAGTAAACTTTTTCCAAAACATTTTATTAAAACATTTCTAAAATCGTTCACGTGAGATACTGCGAAAGCGTGAATATAAACAAACACCTACTAATTAATCCCGTGAGCCAGTATTAGTGGCCATTGACCATCAAGATATGACATCAAGTGTCATTCCTGACAGAGTCTCACGAACAACATAACGGCTGTATTTCGGATAACTAGGAATATGGTCCCACACATACAGATCACCTAATTGATACAATAATTTAAACAGATAGGTTGCAAGTCCCACACGGACTGCAATCCCCTCAATGGGTCAATACAAATAGTAAGGCTCTATGCCCAAATTAACTGAATACTTGCATCAAGTCTATATTAATTCAAAGTATAAAAGTATCAGTAAAAAATCCATGGCTCTAAGAATACAATCATGAGTCTAAATAAATGCATACAATAATATTCATAAAATAATGAACCATGTTAACAAGTCTACATGCTAACATCAAATCTAAACATAATATAAAATCATCAGCTGCATCATCAACTACTCCAATGCGGGGGCCTTGCCCCTAGAAGCATCACCACTACTTTGGGTACCTGAAATGATATCTCCAAACGGGGTGAGATAACAACATCTCAGTAAGCTCAAGGTTCATAGAGGATCTTCTAACCCCTGAGTCCACTTCCTGCATGACAAGTCAGATATAAAGCATATAATACAGACATACAACATAAACATAGCATCATTATATCATCCTTATGTAACCCCAGGGTCAAAGCCATAGATGGTTACACATGTGTGACTTCTAGGGTCAAGCCATAGACAGTCAACACAACCTTAGTATGAAAAATCTCCTAGAGTTAAGTCATAGGCAGCCTACATACCATGATCACTGCCCAGGATCCTCATAACATATATCATCAGTGCATCATCATAACATCAAGATCATATAACATCTATATGAATGTGAATGAATGCACATATACATCATACCATATACTTTCATAAAATACAACCATAATGCCCACCATCATGGTGTGGCCACAAGAGAGAGGAGTCAACTAGAACTAGGAGCTTACCTCACTGAGCTTATCAACAGCCCAACTCCAACAGTAAATATGTATGCTCCCGTACACTCTCAAGTGCCAAGCTCTCTAGGCAAACCTAGAGAAGGAATCATTTACATTATTAATACTCAATCACTTAATGATTCCACATTACATTCTTACATGCCAATAATATGCTCATCACAAGTCTATACCAATTATTACTTATTATTTATTTTTGTGCATTATTATAAGCCACCGCATTCTTTAATTACTTACATAACTTAGAATCCTCTTCTAGGCATACTTATGTAACTTAGATTATTTTCAACTCATCCAAGTCATATAATTAATTATTATAAGTTACTAAGGGTTCCCATAAGCCCACTTAGCTTAAATATCACTTTTACGATTTTCCCAAATCTGTACATGCTTCTATTTTCCAGTCACTGAGCGCAACTTACCTGTTATAAAATTCTCATCTTTTATTATGTTAATATAGACTCAATTACCTTTCCAACAAGGTATCACATGCCTCATTTGGAGTTTCCTAGCTCCGGTTATTATCATTTGAAGTTGGACAAACAAAGTTGTTTGCCAACTCCGAACAGATCCCTAAACATCCTTTACCATTTCTGCGATTCTGAAAAATCTACTAAACCAATTGCTCTCACATTTTTATGCAGACAACTAGACACCTTTAGATTTAATTAGACATGTTATGAGGCTAATTTTAGTAATAATTGAGGGAGAAACAATTCATGGAAGTTTCAGCCATGTACAGCCCCTGCACATGGCCTCCCTGGGGAGTCCTCACTAAAACGATCATACAGAATGGAATACATCTTCAATTGGTACCAAATTGTGACACCACATAGCTAACATCTCAAGCTTCAATTTGATATGAGTCACAGCCCTATATGACCTCTGTGGAGGGAGACATTTTCTCTGCAATTTCGCCTAAAAACTGATTATATAGCCCTAAATGTGTTTACTTAACAAACCTTAATTATTTTTTATTATAAATCCTAATTCACTTTAATTCTTGGATTTTTCTATTATTAAGTCACATTATGAAATATCCTTAGTCCCATTATGTCATGATACTTGAATTTTACTAATTACTTAATTAGTGTACCTAAACCCTACTTTAGTCCAATTTTAGAGTTAAATCCTTAATTACTTTTGTTAATTAATTCCTACCCTTAATTAATCCCCTAAGTCATCATCTCCTTAATTTTAACACAACTAAACCTTTATATACTTTATGGGACAAATTTGATGAGCTATTTTAATTAGAGTTT